GGCGGATGGATCGTGCAGGAAGTGGAATCTCACAATTCTTGGAGGTGGATATTCGGTGCAGCTGCCATCGCCGCCGCTTGCGTCGCCACCGTGGGCCTCTTTGTCCTGCCAGAGACCTATGCACCTCGCATTCTTGCGGACAAGGCGAAAAGACTGCGAAAAGAGACTGGAAATTCGGAATTGAGAACAATTTTTGAGAAGGAGGACGAGGCGTGGTATACGCGCATGCGCAGACACTTGGTGCGGCCGTTCATCTTCATCGGCACGCAGCCGGCCGTTCAACTGTTATCGCTCTACATGCTAATCATTTACGGTGAGCCTCTCCGCACACGTGCCACGCACAACGATGATGCGAATTAAGCTCACACTCTGGCATGTGCTCTTGCAGGCATCATGTACCTTCTATTGACGACTTGGAACGAGACGTATACGCAACGCTACGGTCAGAGCGTAGGCATCGCCTCTCTCAACTACATTGCTCTGGCCATCGGTTTCACTCTGGGCGGTCAGATCAGTGGCAGAGCGGTGGACAGAATCTATCGTCGCTTGCGAGACCGAGCGGGAGGTAAAGGAGCGCCAGAGATGAAGATTCCCGTCATGATGTTCGCAGGACCTCTAGCGCCTGCCGGATTGCTGATCTACGGCTGGTCAGCAGAGTACAGGGTGCACTGGATCGTTCCCGACATTGGCGGTCTCATCTTCGCCATCGGCATGCTCGCAACCTTTACGCCCATCCAATCCTACATTGTCGACAGCTACACCCTCTACGCTGCCAGCGCCATTGGAGCAGTAGCGTTCCTGAGATCTCTGGCAGGCTTTGGTTTTCCCCTCTTCGCTCCTACCATGTACGCCAAGCTCGGCTTGGGTTGGGGAAACACCATCCTAGCTCTCGTCCTTGCCCTCGTCGGTATTCCCGCTCCTTTTTTGCTCTACCGCTTCGGTGCAACCTTGAGAGCCAAAAGCACTTACTGCGCTACCCCACAAGGATGAGATGGGGGTGGTTCGGTGAGCCCCCATCGAAGCTGCAATCACGCAATTTAGACCGACTCCATCATGTACACCTGGACTGTTTCATACTTTTGCAGTGCGTTCAGAATTGCCATCATCAACGACCACGCAAGCTGATGCCCTCTTCCGAGCATCTTGTCCTGATGCATGCCCACGAGCCGGGCCAGTCCGATTCTCAAGTGGAGCGTCGTCGGGTCTCTATCAGTATCCAGCAGCGCTGGCTTGAGGGTACGATACACGTTCGAGATTGCACTCCCATCTGCTCTCCGGCAGGCCGCGCCAACGCAGCTTCATCGAAGCACATCAGCACGCTCTCACTGCACCTGCTTGCCTCTTGCGCTCTCATCTCATCCCCATGCAGCAGTCGGAAGGTGTCGTGCCTTTGAAGTTGATCATCTGCTCGACTCGCAAAGGACTTTGACGGAACGGCCTGCAAGTCGCTCGCTCCGCTACACACCAAGCCGGTCACCGGCTATTTTGGACGCGGGCGTGACTGCAAATACATTATTATTAGGTGTGCAATTCGTTCGTACCTTGTTCCAAGCTAGGCAGCACTCTTGACTCATGCACCAACGCACGGTCTTCCTGCGCTTTCCCCGCACTTGCTGTATCCCACTTGCGACCTGCTGCTCGCTGCATGAAGGGCAGGACCTGCCCTTTCGTCCGGATCACATGCTCGTTTCCCCCCCACTTTCCTGCTTTACTGTATGAATGTTTCGTTCGCTCATCGAATGCCGAGGTTCGGCTCGAGCTGAAGCGGTACC